GGGGGGGGGGGGGGGGGGGTTGTTCACTGGGGTTATTTTGTGGGGCTCCATAGTCACATCTGACACATTTGGCTTCCGTTTTACGTTTGAGGTTAGGATTAGGGTACCGGTTAATGGCTTCCAATTTTCCGGCTAGGGTTATGCCTTTAGGCTTAGGTTTTCGGGTTACGGTTAGGGGTTGAGCGTACGACTAGGTTCCACTATTACGTTTAGGCTTCTCAGTTACGGCTATGTCTAGGGGCTACGGTTACGTTTACGATTTCGGCTAGGGTTAGGGTTGCCGTTAGGGTTAACGATTAACGGTAACGGTTGAGGTTAGGGTAAAGGCTGGGATTAGGGTTAAGGTAGCCGTCCGCTTCCCATTCCGGGCTACCAACTGCGATCTAGCCTAGGAAACATTACTTATATCCACACAGCCAAAGAGCCAGAGCGGTGCCTTATGGAAACGGAATTGTATGCGTCTTGACCTAATGAAGCTGGCCTTCTCGGAAAATCTACGAAACGGTTCATTTGATGTTTTAAATGCAGAGATGCGCCCCATGTCGGGCGGGCCGTTGTCACCACACCCAGAGGTTTTTGACAGTTTTTTGTTTTAGCGACGATGTTCTCCCCATCTGGACTGTGCGGGGATGCTTATGATAAAAAAATTGGGTCCTTCTAGTTGTTTGGTGCTTATAATTGAGCGAACGTCACTCGGTTACACATACCCAACCCTCGGTGTTCCCACTTTATGCGGCGTTAGCCCCTCTAACGAGGTGTTTAAACGAGCACTGACCATCGTCGCATGCCGTACATTAACGCCGCCGGCGCGTTTGTGCACTGACCACTTTACTGCAACGATTTATTAGGTTTCCACGCAGGAACTTCTGTGTTTCAGTCTTCAGTAAGAAGACAGTCTTTACATTTGAATGCTCTTGAAAGGGTATGTAGACGGAGCAGTTTACATCAATGTTTATACTAGGGCTTTTAAAACTGAGAACTGCGTGGAACGAGCTTAAGACCAGAAATAAGACCACCAGGATGGATAAATTTTATCTTAAGGTCTGATTTACAAAGTTTTTATTTCGGGGCACATCGAACAGAGCTCCAACTGACACAGAATTGAGCACACGAGTCGCCTAAACGTTACACACTAACACAGGACTGTTTTAGTAGACGCCATTTGTGCGAACCATGATCCACAGTCCAAAACTACCTGTGCTTTGGAACTTCAGAGGAATAGTCTGTCTGTCTGTCAAACAAACTATTTCCGCTGCTTGTGTCTCAGCTGTTGAAAATTCTTTTTTTTTGCGGGATCCACTGAACAGCACTGGCAAGTAAAATTCCACATTTACAATCGTTTCTTCAGAAAGTGCTCCTCCCCCCCCGGGGGGGGGGTGGAGTTTTCACCCGCTCATTGCCTGCTACAAAAGTACTAAATCGTCCTCAGAGTTGGCGATGATCAGCGCACTGATGAGCCAATTCTCTAGACGTCAGCCTGCAGACTAAAGCACTTGCACTTCTGGGCCTAATAAGGCAATCATTCAGGGCTGAGCACGCAGCCGCCATTAGGCAGCTTGGCCTCGTCTAATTAGGTGTGCGTCTGACGTTAAGTAATTGTCATCCACCGTTGACCTACAGCGTGCGTAATGGGGCGGGTCGGGGAGTGGGCTAATTTGGCATTTGGTTGTCAGCCATTAGTCAATCTTCGCCGAAAAATGACAGCCAGCACACAACTCATTACGGGGATGACCACTACATCAAAATTAAGCTGATCAATGATCAGGGGACGGGGGGGGGGAGGGGAGGTAGGATGACAGGGCGCGGTTGGAGGCGGAGACGCCAAAGTCGCCTTTGCGTGCGGCGACCTGACGAGGCTTTGCCATAGAAGAATGCAGAGAGAAATCCCAAAGTGAATAGAGGTAGGCGTGTAAGCCTCCATCTTCCCCTAGGAATCGAGTAGCAGAGAAGAAAGACGAGAATAAACGAGAGAAGACAAATAAAAAAGGAAAGAAGAGCAAAAACGGAAGAAAATAGGACGGAATAAGACCAGACGTGGTCGAAACGCGAACCCAAGAGGCCGTAGTGGGGCTAGAATGATTACCAGCCTTGAAGAAGAAGACACGATCGCCGGGACAAGAGCTCTATTAGCCAGGCGTTTCGGATTCCTGCTTGAATCCATCATCAGAGATAAAACCAGATAAGGGTCTGTGATGATGGATTCGAGCAGGAATCCGAAACGTCAGGCTAATAAAGCTCTTGTCCTGGCGATCGTGTCTTCTTCTTCTTCTTCTTCTTCTTCTTCTTCTTCTTCAAGACAGTTTCCTGGGACTCGTCTCTTCGCTTCAATTGGCAATGATTACCAGCGCCAAAAGTAGGAGCCTTTAAGGGGGAGCACTGGCAACCTTTAAGGTTAGCAGGAGGAGGATGATATAGGATTGTAGACTAGACAAATTAAGAAAACGAGAGAAGATGGAATCTATTGAATCCCAGAAAGAAAGAACCCAGGGAGGGGGTGATGCGAATTTAGCATAAGAAAGAGAAGACGAAGGGAACGAAATCGTCTGAAGGGGATAAAAGACTGAGACGCATTTCATTTGAAGAGCATTGATGGTCAAATGCAAAGTGCGATCCCCCCGATAGGGGGGAGGGAGAGAATAGAATAGGAACCAGGAGTTATGCATGTCGCAGGGGCAGACAGGAGTCGGGGTGGGGGAGAAGCGAGACAGGCAGCAAAAAGATGAAAACAGTTACTGGACACCCCAGTCCAAGCCTTTGAAAATGCCTTAGTGGGATACTAAAAATAGATGTTTACGTCTCAGTCAACATCCTGTCACGTCCCTGCCTCGCGCTAACAGGCTGTCATCATGAATATGATGACTAAAATAGCCACTTTACGAATCAGGCCCCTTAATTTTCTTACTAACACAGCCAGGCCTTATGCAAGGGCCTGACAGGCAGTCTGTATCAGCAATGCAGTCTAGACGCCCACAAACTTTCTTGTTTACCAGACGAACCGAGGAAAGATGCGTTGGGTCTGATTATTTCAAGCCTTACCGAGAACAGGCTGGTGGGTGTTCACCCTGGGTGAGTATAATAGCCACAGCCCGAAAACCGACAACATGATTTATGTAAATTCAGCAAGTCTGAATGTCAGCGTGCGTGATTAAATCTAGTTGTGTAGAAAGCATAAACAGGCTAAATTTGGTCTGACAATACGGGGGGATGTCTGACCATCAGAGAGACGTCTCAGCCTTGGCCATCTATTTTATGTTGTCAGAAACCAGGGGACGCAACCGGAGAAACCATAGATACACAAGTAAATGCAAAATGTTTGCATTTAGAAACGTCGCCAACACGTGGGTTCTGTCGAAAGAAACGGTAGGAGCATTTGTCTCGCAAACAAAGACCAAAGGGACAACTGTGTTAACTTACTTCATTTAGTAGGTGGGGCTTCAGCCTGATATTTGATCCGCGAGCTGTTTGGGAAATGCTGACCGGTATAGTGCGTATTTAAATAAGCCAGGTTGTCTTCGTAACAGACTGTGTCATGAGGCGTTTGATATGAGATCTCATCATATCCCCAAGCTCCAAAAATGTGTTGTAACTTCTCCAGTTGAACTGCCGCAACTAGACCTCCTGTCCATTAGGCACATCTTTGGGAAAACTTTTCCTTAAGTGCTCCGTCTTTCGATGGACATCGCAAAGTTTTAGTCTGTTTAAAAATGATTTGACGCTGAAAGAAGACAGTAATCAGGTCATAAAGGGGAAAGCGTAACCGAAGCCTTTGCGTTTTTAGAAAGTCCGCACAAGTAAGCAGGCTGATTGGAGTAGCAGCAATGCGTTTATGGGGAGGAGATTAACAGAACAAAAGTAAATATCTCTCCCAACTGCTCTCCGTTGACTTTATTCTGTGGTTAGCGTCACGTCAACCGACAATACATCAAGCTGTTAGACGTGTTCATGTGCCAGTTCGGCAATCCAACTCATTCGGTTTTTTGGCGCATAAAAGCTCCATCATCACCTACTATACTCTGAATATGGTTCCAACAGTTTATATTTCCGTCGGGAGTCTATAAAATCACCCAAAGTTCAGTTCTACAGAGTACCTGGTAATAGTCTTCTTAGGTGCTGACAATGAACGCCCAAAAAATCAAAAAGAATTAAAATTATTGCTCGGGTTTACTTTTCTCGTTTTTCATGCCTTACAGTTAAAAGGGGACTTTTATAATAGTTTCACGACCTAACCTTCCAATTCCCCTCATTTTAAGGTCCATCTGCGAGGCCTAGGGAAAAGACAGTTAAGCCTCAGCATCATATGATGAACTTTTTATCAGGGAGTCTCAATACACTAATTTAAACACTATTTGTTAGGCGAGGTCTTCGTAAATTGCACTATTACAGCGCATTTGGAACACACACTGCGCCAGCCAGTCTCATGCGTGAAAATCTATTAAAATCTGAACAACTCTGAACTGGATACGACGGCAGACAGGCGTCTTGTCACCACCGGCCTGGTTGATGTCTTCCAATTTTGATGGCCAAATAACCCTGTCAAGGCGATTTAACGCGCGCTGACACGGTCATCACAGACTGCGTTAATCATCCTCCAGGGCTCATCAATAATCGCAGGTCCACTAAGCGTTCCCGTCTTATCACACACGCACACTAGTGCGCCTTCCTAATCACATTTGATTTACGCAACCACAAATTACCCCACACCCCCTTCACTGAGGTTGTACTTTGCTCGCAAAGTCATTGAAACCCATCGAACCACACCATCTGCCAAAAGTACTGTAAGTTGCCCGAGAAACCAATTTGTCACCGTTTGCTTGAACGGAGAACACGCACTTTAAATCTTACATTAACGTCGAAAAGTCAGAAGTCATATGTAAAATAGAAAAGCCTGCGTCTGAAAGCTGCGCGCGTTTGCTGCCAAGATGGAATTATACGGCATACGTTCTGCAGAGGTGAGTAAGAAGAGTACTGTTCAAAATGCACCTCTATTTATTAAGGTTCACTTTTACTGAAATGGATTCAGTGAGCGCATTAAGGTAGAGATACAAGGAATTGTCCAACACCAGCTCAATGGTAGAGGGGCGCTTATGGGTCGTTGTTTATTTTTTTACGGAACTCACTCGTCCCGTTGTACCTTAGGGTTCTCCCTCGAGCCCAACTAGCAACCGTACAGCAGCGCATGATGGGGGTAGAATGGTATTACCGACAAGGGAGACTAGAATGGTTATTTTGGGCCATTCCGTAAAAACTATCGGTGAGCGCCCCCTACCATTGTTAATATGTCCGATCGCAACCGACATGGCAACGAGCCCGTGGATCAGTGGTTAGGGCATTGTACTTCTAACCAACAGGTCGCGGGATCGAGCCTTAGAGGTAGCACACCTCGGCGTTGGGTATGGGTGGCCGACAACGGCCAATAACTCAGAAAAGGCCATTTCCGTCCCCCTTGTCTTTGTCAGGCAGTTATTCAGTCCTGCTGATTTAGTTATCTCAGATCAAATTCCCTTCCATACGAAAGGTTGTGTTGGTTGAGTTTCTTATGATGCCGAGATCTATCACTCCCAGGAGTGCATCTACGATCGGGATTTTCAGGCTTGGCCCAGTTCCTACGAAAAAGTTACTGTCTTCGCAGGTTCCCTTCAGATCAGAGAGTGTTTCGGGATTTAAAACTGACGGCCAAAACTTGCCCGGTGGAGCAAACTGGGAACAGGTACCAATGTCACATTTGTCTCCGTTCACCCTTGCCGTTAGATAACCTTAGTGAGGACCGTTGCGTTCGGGCGAGAATGTTCAACTTCCGGTTGTGTTACCTCCAAGCTGCCACGTATTTTTAGTCTATTGTCATTTTCCGTAATGAAATGGCCTGACGTCACCTGCAAAGGACGGAACTGGAGTTCGCACAGGCAAGTTTTACACGAAGCTATTTACTGTCCATGTTTACGACATCCAAGATTTCGTCTAACCTGACCTGAATAACTGCAGGCACAGTTTATACACACGATATGCTACACAACTCCCGATTGATCACTGGGAAAATTCGAATCCTCATGAGCGATCAGGTGCCCTTGAAACGGCAGCAGAAACTCCGGGAGGTGAATGCCAAGGGAGGGATAGTTTTGGAATGTGCTGATTGCAGCGAAGTAAAGAAGATTAATAGATCAGTGCTGTCCACGCTTGAAGTTATTTCGGCACTACTGACACCCAATCCGAAAGACGAACCTCAGTCGCCATGAGTTTCTGTCATGCTGAGGATGGCAAATAGGGCCGAAACGACAGCCCATGTGTCCCTGTCTTTATCATTAAGATTTCGCGCTTGTCGATGGCCAGATACCCTGCGACCACCCGCGTGGACCGTATACTCTTAGCTGAAAGTCAAACAGAACTGTTCACTTCCGTCCTGTTATCCCGGTAGATCGGTGTTCGTCACCGTGGTTTGACTTTATCTCAGGTATTACTAGAAACCCACCTTTTCCTGCCTATCAGAAAGACGGGGTGTTCGCAACAATTATTTTCCCCTCTGTCCACCTTGCCTCTGCATCTTGCGTACATTCCAGGCCTAAACACAACAAACTAAATCTGGGAAGGCCATTTCCGCAAGCCTGGATAACCATACGCCGATAAGCGTTATTTACCTGCGATTGTAGGCAGACCCGCTCGAGCTGCTATCAGCAGAAACCTATATAACGGAACGGTCACTCTTCTTAGAGCAGAATTTTTGTGGTGATAATACTGCAAAGACGAAGACCAATTTGCATGAAGACACGTGGGATCATTCACCAGCTGAGTCAACTAGTTTGCATGAAAATGCTAACAGCCCGACGGCAGAGGCGTTACCACCATCAGTCGCCCAAGACATGGCACAATTGGGGGCCGTTTCTTTGAAGTCCTGCTGGTTCGTAACATACGACATTCGGTAGAATTGCCAATATAAGCGAAGAGCGGAGTCCCAGGAAGTAGTCGTGAAGAAGGAGACACGATCGCTGGGACAAGAGCTTTATTGGCCTGACGTTTCGGATTCCTGCTCGAACCATCATCAGAGACAACAGCAGATGGCTGATGTTAGTGCAAAGATAGGATTTTGCCTAGAGGACTTTGACTCCAAAGCATAAATTGATATTCAGCGTGCTCGAAAGAACTGTTACCGACATCTGATCTCTACGGAGGCACTACACAGATCCGTCTAGGCCAGCACGATCCCACGCTAAGAGGGGGCACATTTCGTGGATTACAGGGAATGTTTCTTCCCTAGAGTCGTAAAAGTAAGACTTTGCTACTCATTCCCATGCCTTTCTCCATGACTTATCAACTAGCCGTTCTACCGACTAGACTTGACGAACGCTCGAAAGCTTTGTTTTTGAATTGAGATCTTCATGCCGACTATACTCACTTGGAACGCAATAGATCTCCATCGATAGCGTCAACAGGAAAGGTCTTGTCCTTCAAACCGTCATTTAGTATATTGCTTCCTCTTCTGAATCCACCAATACCCTTTATTTGGTCTGTGCTCCAACTCAATGGCACGCCGTAAGTTAAAAGGCAATTCGCACAGCGCGAAGCCATGTATCATTAGGTCGGATCAGAACGTCGACCGTTCGAGTTCACACATGTTTTACTGCCATTGAGTCACAAACGACGTGCTCCACAACTGTGCGCATACTGAATTATGTTTAACTGAAGTGGGAATAAAATCAAAGCTCTCGGTCGGAGTCCCATAGCTCAGGCGGTAACAGTGGTGACGTTAGTCAATTAACCAACCGAGTCTGAACTTGTGGGTTACTGTAGAAATGTATGAAGGAGACAGAGCTACTCGAATTCCACGATGGCATGATTTCGAAGACTTATAGAGATCGAATGAGATGGAATTTGAGGTAAACCTACCATAGAAGATGACGCCGGCCAGGAAGAGTTTACTTGAAGGGTCTTTCACGGAAGCGAAACAAACGTCAGTACTTGAGTGTGAGTCATATAGGTCTGTAATTTTTAAGCTAATAGACATAGGTTATAGGGCTCAGGAACCGACTTCAAGGATGCATACATTCGTTGGCATAGAACACAACTAACCGTGTTTGCTTAAAGATGTTAATTCAGTGGCAATGATCTTCGGGAGAACATACTTTCCGGGAAGTTGTTTGGGCAATACTAACAGCGGATGACGAATGCAGTATTGAACAGTCACTGGGAATGATGACTTTCTTTGCCAGGTAGGAATTAGTCAAATTATCCGCGCTCTTCTGGGTTTGTTTGATTTTTTGACTGGTCCCCGATTATTGGGAAGGGAATGAGACTGCCTTTGGAGGGCCACCTGTGACTGATAGCTAGGCTTAAGTCAGTAACGGTTCTTTAATCTCCTAAGTTTCACAGTACTCTTGTGTTTACGTGTTTGGTCAGTCCACCCTATGAATGTAGCATCAGTCAAACTGCCACCGATTTTCCTCACACCTACTTTGTCTCCTTCAATTCACTCGAAGATCTTGTGGATCTGTGACGCTCCTCGACTACTGTTTGTTTGAAGTAGGTCTTTCGAATTTTCCATAGTTTTCTCTGTCTTTCCACTTGTTTTTTACCTTTGCCTTGCTGTGATTCCTCCTATTCTGTGTGTTTCTCCTAGAGACTTATGAGTCCGTTCTTAATCAACTATTTATTATCACGCTCATCATCTTTAAACTTCTAAGCGAATTATTTGGGACGCCCAAGGCGTATATAAAGGCGAATATTGCGGACATTGCGACGGCTACTACTCCTAATCACAATATTACTGATAACTTCGATAGCACAGCAGGTGCCAACATTAATAACAATGCTGCTACCAGCACTGCTACCGGTGGTACTGATATTACACATATATCTGCATCACTACTATGACTACTAATACTGATGACTTTGCCTGAACTAACACTACTACTGTAGTCATTTATGCTATTACTAAATTGCTACTTCCCTAAATACTGTTTCTGCCTTATTGCTGTTATCAATTCTTTCATTCTTGAAGGAAAATAGCCATTTACAGGGACTGGTGCCTAAGACAGTTGTTTAAATATACATGCAAATGGTAGAGGGGCACTCACCGATCGCACTACGGACCTCGCTCGTCCCATTGTGCCTTGAGGTTCTCTCTCTCTCTCTCTCAAGCCCCGTCAGCAGCCGCACAGCATCGCGCGATATAGCAGAATAACTTTGTCGACGAAGACAAAGGCAAATGGAATGACCATTTCTGGATTATTAGCCGTCATCAGCCAGTCATACCCGACCCCGAGGCGGGAAACAACTGGAGCTCGATCCTGCAAGGTGTTGGTTAGAAGTCCAACTCCCCTTACCACAGATTTACGGACTCGCTGTCCTGTCGAGTTAGGGGCGTTGGACTTCCGACCAACAGGTCGCGGAATAAGGCCCCAGATATACCACACCTCGGGGTCGGGTATGACTGGCTGATGATAGCTAATAGGCCAGAAGTGGCCATAAAAGTCTTCCTTGTCTTTATCGGTAAAGTTATTCTGCCTATAGCACGTACTGCTGTACGGCCGCTGACGGCGCTTGAGAGAGAGAGAGAGAGCCTCAAGGCACAGCGGGACGAGTGAGTTCCGTAGCGCAATAGGTGAGTGTCCCTTCTAATATTCTCCAAATTGATGCTCATAACCATCGCCTGCGTTTTAAAATGCAATACTTGCTATAGCAAGGTTTGTCTCACTTTGAGTGGGTACAGCGCATGCCTGTGACATTGCCTAAACCTCCCCCCTGTAGGTAAAGGAGCAGGCGTAATTGGCACAGAGGCACCAAAAGTACCCACCGGTAGACTGGTGATTAATTTAGTTAATTTACGTTGACGTGGAGCGATATTCGGCAGTAATGACGTTTTTGCTGATTCCACGAAGTTATTTGAATAGACTCCCGAATGCTTATCCCAGCGCAATGGGCATTAACCTGATGGTGGACCCATTAATCACGCACCAACTTGGACGCGTCGCTGTGGAATGTGCTGCCCGGCAATCGATTTTCGGCGACGAAATCTCGCCACCTCGAAAAATGGGAAATGATTAAAATCAATGACTAGGCTGGAGAGAGTGTGTTGGGGAAACGCTTTGGATGAATGACACGGCAACAGTGAATGAGAAAAGACAGGCAGGTACGGTGATGTTTTGACTCCAAACAAATTCAGATTAAATGAGGTTTAGACCTAAAGACTGCACAACAGTTAATAGCCGAGTTGGTGAGACGGTGACGGGAGAAAGAAACGGTGTTGGAAAAACAAGAGGATATAAGAGGGGAATGCATAGAAAGATTACCCTTCCAGGTGCTTGGTTGGAGTGGTTTTTTCATCGTATGTTGGTAGGCGCACATCTACAAGGAGAAAATCTGGTTTGATTGAATTACGTTTCCATACTCTATCAGTAAATTCAGAAACTTTCCCATGGACTGTCTCACTTGAATGGCCTAAACAGTTATTGTCATTCTGTGGCTACACGATAGGACAAGCTAACCATATTCATCCCTGGTAAAGAGGGTTTACAAAGTCCTGGTAGGTCACCCAGCTTAGACAGGTTTAATAATTTCACACTCGTCTTGCTGAGGAAAAAACTAACTCGCAAACTCTTAAGAGTTCCTGTAGCTTATAGGTCAACGACTGAACTTTCATCCCATCGGATAGGCCAAAATGCCGCATGCGAGTGGTGCTAGTCGAGCCGTCCTGAATAAAAAACGGTAAACTTGTAGCCTAAAGTTGCCTTGGATCTCCGGTGGAAAGCCTCACGATCAACACGATGATGGTTCACTGATCGAGCGCTTAACTTCGGCGCCTGATAGTTCGACCGCTGTTGCCGACGATGTCCACCGTGTGCTCCACAGCAAGACGAGTGCGAACACGCTGGCTTGCGCATGAATTAGTTTATAGTGAGAGCAGACTTTCGCAGCATCCAACGCACTCTCGCCTCCCCCTGGCCGAAATCGGATGTCAAGACATTGCCAAGAAGACCGGAAGCCGGAGAGGGCAAAGGTGGCTAGCACGGCCGGATGCACATCTAGGCGTAGCACCACACCCCTGGTCCACAGCAAACACTTGAAAGGGGTTTTTCTCAGCAACAAAAACGGATCAGAAACAGAAGGATGACACAAATAACTGGACAAACATGCGCAGGACTTGTATCCCTAAACGTGTCTACTGGTAGAGAACCAAGTGCCAGGGAACTGCCAGCGTACATCAGGCTGTGAGGGCCGTAATTTGCCAAAGCATGGCTCAGCAAAAGCACATAGTTCAGCGCCCAATGACCAAATGACCAGGAGTCAAACCTCAGATATGTTCAGCATGAATTTGGGATGTTGATGAATAAGGACAATAACAGACTAGACTCTTGAAGTGTAGTCACGCGTATATGAGAATCGTGATCACCAGTCTATTCTACTGGTAGGACGAACTAGGGATAATCTCGGCTCGCTCTGGGACGTGCGCAAACAGTCGCTTAGCGACGTTCACCCGGTAATCGAATAGTGATACCGATTTGAGTGAACTAACAGACTAATAACAATAGGCAGGGATGTACCACTGCTAACTAGCAGTAAAATAGTTGGAATTAATGCCTCATGGTAAGAAGCTAAACTGCCAGCCGAGGCAATCACAACAGCACAAAACTATGGCACTACTATGTCGGCTGCCTACCTGGTAGTATTACCTACATAAGAAGGTATCAGACGGTCAAGTAAAGTGTGTGAACGGCCTGTCCATAGCCCGAACTGACAGTCAGCCAAGTTGCTAGGATGGTCCATCCAAAGCTACAAGTTCGTCATTAGGGCATCGGAAGTGCTCTCTGAGTCGTCAGACAACCAATAAACGCAATCAAGTCGGGGGTTCCATCTTCTTCCGGCAGTTTAGTATCCAATAAAGTAGTCACCAATGCAAATCCGCTGTTTTCACATGCAGACAGTGACAACTAGCCTGCTGAAAACTTAGTGATTTTTAATTCTGTTAAATTGAATGCGTTCATGCACACATAAAGATGGCTGCAGTTTTCGGGAAACAAAATCCCAGGCACACACGAAAATATAAATATAAGTGGATACTTGGTGGTAATTTGCGCAGAAAAATAAACCCAATGCCACATGATCCTATGAGAACATGGAGTGCGGTATTACCTGGCATTAAAAAAGCAATGCCTAAGTCGATTATCTGCGTGAAATGCCAAAATTAGGCAATTAGTCTTCCAAAAATCCACTTCTATACTGGCTGCGTGAAGTTTGTAGAATGGTGCTGCCTATTTTAAGGTCGTTGGGTCTTGAAAGCAACCTCAGGATGAAAAGCTTTAAAAGATAAATCCAATTTGTCGGTTTGCGAAAAACGGACCCCAGAAGCTAAACTATCAGCCGAAGTGATAATAACAGCACAAAACTATGGCAACTACTATGCATAACGTGATCGGTGAGCGCCGCTCTACCATAAGACAACAAGATTTAGAGTTATTGTGTCAGAAACACAACACGTCCCCATCCGAAACTCAAAGGGAAAAAATAGTCATAAAGACATGGCATAGTAAGTGCCGCAAAATTCGAGAGTTAGGCCACAACCGACACGAAAGGGCGAAGGCCTAACGACCTCTTATCAGATGAGCTCAAATGTATTCCAAAAACTCACGAGGAATGCTCCGTTCCCTGCTTGCAGATTTCCACAGTTTTAAATCCGTTCAATATTAGTTGACGCCACAAATTGCGCTCCCCTAATGGGACTGCACTCACTGTTCCAGCCTTCATTGTGCACAAATAACACAGCGGTTCAAGGCTGTAGCCGGTGATAAAGTGCTGGATCTTCAAGACACACAGTAACACGGAACTAATGATGGTTTGAACATTCTTCATCCCATCCAGGAGGCCGTCCAGAATTTGCTGTAATTTCCTCTAAACCAAGCGCAAACTCCGAACATCCCTTACCAACTCAGTTAAATTCAAATGTTGAGAGTGCATCGTTTTTGTGGGGCAGTACTTGTAGGCCCCAATTAGGTGTAAGGTCAACGCTCCCGTATTGTGATATGACTGGGTCGCAGCTGAGGAACTCACTAAACGCACTAACTCTTGCAACGGGTTTTTTCTTTGACTGTGTACGACAGTATCTACTCGAAAACAGAAGCCCCTCTGGCGATGGGTTTTCTCCAGCTGATGACTTTTAAGGCATGCCGCCTACAGTAAAGCTGGATGCTTTTACTTGCATCCAGGAAGACACTAGAACCGAGAGTCGAAAACTCGCTTTCGCATGACACAATGAGTTTTATGATTGTCACGTGGACATTCTTAAAAGTGCGGACCACTAACACGCTTTTTCGGCCGAAATTGCAGTTTTCATCGGCCGATGTATTCCAAATTCCTTTACACAATCCTCTTCTTATAACCCATAGAACCAACAAGAAAGAGCATCCCGTAGAATTAAAATTACACCATACAGACAACAAGTCGGATTCAAGTATTTTTGACAAAATAGGTGATGTTTTGCCTAATTTAACGTAAGCAACAGAAGTTGAAATTATAAGGGGAGAGAAGCATTTTAGAAGAGAAGGGAGAAGGTTCGGTTGTTGAAACAAAAAATGTCTCTAATTTGTGCCCCATTTCATCATCAGGGACAACAACGGAAAAGGGTATTAGACGCACAAAGGCTGCAGTGTTTATATGATGTGATCGCTACATGACCACGTGCCTATATACATTAGCCAAATCAATATCACAGCTTTTTATTTTCCGCAGATATTAGCGCGCTAACATGGGGCGGCTCACTCGAAATGAAGCTTTATAGACTCAGTCCTATGTACGAAGAATCAGCCAGTTGCCCGCTATACCATACTTGACGACACAGTTACTAGTTAAAAACTCAGACACGTGCTCCGCCGAAATTCTGTCTCTGCATGACACAGCTGCGAGCGGTTCGGCTCAACAAGGGATCCCCCAGCGTCCCCTGTGTGCTTTCAGGTAGATGCTCCAGTTTTCAAATTTCAGGTTCGTAAATAACAGAAGTGACACCTCTTGACAAACAAGTTACGGTTTTGACTGTTCGTAAATCCGGAAGACATTTTTAACAAGAATAAATCATAAGGAAGAAGATTAGTCGATCCCGAAACCCTCGTAGCTGTCTCATGCAACGGCAGAATATCGGCGAAACAGGTAGCTGGACTTTGAGTTAGTACCTTTGCTGTTAATGTGCTATCTTGTGACACTAAAATATACTAGTGTCAAGTGTTTGTTGCAGATTAGGGGAATGTGGTGGTACGCCTAGGTGCTGGTTCGGCAGTGTCAGCCACCTACGCCCTCTACTGCCTCTGGTCTTCTTGACTCTGTCTTGACACCGTGCCCAGACGCGGAGGGGAGGGTGCGGTAGATGCTTCGCAAGTCGACTCTCACCGTAAACCAATTAACGCGCATATCGGTGACATCGTCAGTCGCGACGGTCGAACCGTCATATTTTCTAGGAATGTTACACAAGTCGTCACTTTTTCTTCATGTTCTACGGGAATTTGTACCTCCTTCAAATCTTGGGACTTTAGATTGCGAGTAGTCCTTCCTAGAACAAAGCTGATGAACAACCCGGTTTTTCACCCGTTCCTTTAATCGCCAAGCTGCACTAACGCGTGTCCTAATTGCGGATCACACTGGAACTCTCAGATTCACAGGAAAAATCAATTTTGTTCACGCGAAACATAATAGCAGCGGCCTTTCGCATTGCATATACTGACGTGCAGTAAATTTTAAGTGCTACTTAAAGCATGCTGAGACAAGTTTTTCTTTATTTTTACGTCAGGAATGACAGCTGCTGGCTGTGCTAATTTAACCTCTCACTGGGTGACGTGGAAGGAGAAAGTCTTTCTAAAAAAGGCAACCTTCGTTACCCTTTGATGTCTAAAATCGCTTAGGCGAATCGTTTTTACTCATTATTGCGTAATAAAGCGATGGGCAAGTTAATTTTGGGAGTTTGTGTACTTTTCCTTGTGCCCTTTCTTTGGCGACTCCAGACCTTTTCTAACTTTAACCAGAGGGGAATGCTAATTTCGGTACAGTCGTCTTCTTCTTCTATGTGTGTGCGCCCGTGCTCATAGTCGAATAGCCCACACTTTCAGTGCGTTTTTTGCGCAGGTAACAAGCACTCTGTTTGTCCGATTTGCAGCAGAAGTACCAACCTATCAGAAGCGATAATCAGTTTAATGTTAAGAATTTACTGTGCGAGCTGACGGAAGCTCACAATGGCTCCTAAGTGAACACACCGAACCGAACTGACGTTTTATCTGGCCAATGGAGATAGATCAAAGATTCTAGGGCTTTGTCGCATGTCGTTTTCTGACCGCTTCTGTCCACGTCGAAAGGGAGGGAATTGCGAATCGGAAAAGGCCCACGAATGCTACTCCTCGATTTACACACAACGTCCAGGTGACGAGCACACACACACACACACAGAGAATCCCGAAGTCTGTCATTTGAGAAGTAGCCCGATTTTTTTGTTTTTGCACCCTGCATTTAAGAACATCGGCAATAGCGACAGTCACCGGGGACTGCACCCGAGGGGAAGCCATGTGCGAATTCCCATTTTGGCGGTTTCAACAACGGTCCTTTTAGTTTTTTCGTGCCATCGAACTTAAAAATAGATCATTACATAGGTTGGCCTGGGTGAGGAGGCAGTCACTGTCAGTCACGTAGTTGTTGCAGAGTAGTTCTAGCTGCCGTCAGAACTTGCGATATGGAGGCTTTTCGTAGGCGCATAGCCTGAGTAGGGAATCACGCAGTGTACGCACCAAAACGTGTGAGGGTCACCGTAGGCACACAAAAGCCAAGTCCGTGACTATCGCTTCAAGGCCGAGTGGTTTATGTAAGCGTGTGCAAGCAAATTGAGATCTAAAATAACTGAATTAGAGTGATCTCATAGACTGTCAGAGAGGGTGCTTAAGCTGCTGGATACGTTGTAATGTTGGGGGAGAACTATGCTAAAAAAATCGCACGGATGTTCCCACAGTTAAATTAGAAGTCGCCACAAAATAATGAAGAGAGAGAAAGCGGGCCGAGAGAAATAACCTTCAGTAGATTTTGACTCAGAGTAGGAGCAAAACGGCTTTGGAAATGTTAAAACCCTGTATTTTTCCCAGGTTGGCGCATGTTTCTCTGGTATGCGCATTCGGTCGTACTTCCGTGCTCTATTTGCTCAAGGCAGCAAATGCAGGATTTTTTAAACTCGCGTGCAAACAATCCACTAATTAATGAAGATCAAACATGCGATTCCCCCGTCCCTGGATCCAAGCCAATTAGTGCACAAAAACACGTAAACTGCAGTAGCTCTGGTGAATTACGCTCGTTCTCGTCCAAAAAGTAGACCACCGTTTCATCGAAAGTTGCAGTTCTATGCAACGATTCGCAGAGCGATAAACTCTTTGCTTTCCATGCGTCGCCCCGAAATCCGGCTGCACTTAGAGTAAAAAAGCTTCCGAGGGTTATGGCGCAAATTGTTTTTGAGCCTTGCGTTTGTGAGAGTCGTCCTTTTCGTAGGCAATCACTTCCTTAAATCCTAACAGTAAGGTTTGCAACCCTTCTGGAAAGATTACTCATTAATTTTAAGAAGCCGTGAAAATGACCCAGATGTGATTAAACTCGCCTCTTCCGGCGGGGCCTCGCAGCTCAAGTAGTTAGAGCGTTGGCTGTACTAAAGCCTTCCCCTTACTGCGTGGGTTCGAATCGCACAGTTGGGTCAATATGAAAATGACCCAGTCAAAAAGCGGTTTATAGACGTACGCAGATGGTTAGCGATTGATTAAATTAAATAAAGAGGGCAACGGTAGGATGAAGGACCCCAGTTAGCTGTCGGTATGCTATGAATCGGGTCATACGGGAATGGTAATAATGGGAGGGAGGGGTTTACGGGTGGGACAGCATGCCGGACAGTAAGCTGACGGAATGGAGACAAGCGCAGGAGACGGCCGGTAGCAAAAACGATACCTTCGAGTAAAATTATGAATGTATGCAAATACGACATCCAGCAGGATACCCCATGGCGTTCCGTTTTGAATGACCGCCTGGCCATCAAACAATCGAGCCTATCCCCTGCCAGAAAGTTCTGTTATCCCTTAATTCATGCCCACTTGGTCCCCGTTATTGTTTCTCCGCCCTTGAATACAACTTCCAGTCATCATTACTAGAACACGTTTCCCAAGTAAATACAACAGCACACAGTCCACCGTCTACCAACAGCTAATTGGGGGACCTTCACCCTACCATTACCATAAAAACTTGGCACAGAAACAAAATTATTACCAAGTAAGAAATGCCTGCCACCCGTAGGGAGAATCTGAATCTTCGATCAGTCAATTTCCGTTAATTTTACGCAAAATTACGTCTATGTCAGGGATGATGGAAGCAACCTAACCCTGCATATATTGCTCACAGGGCACATTTATATGAGGAAACAGTATTTATGAGGAAAGAACTGACTTCAGTGTTACCAGCCGCTCCTTCATTGGCGCATTTAAATTTCCTCAGAAATTACCTACAAAGTTGGAGTAGATCAGTTTATTCAAGGTCTATATGCTCAGACCGAGAATTTTATGCATGAATATTTGGGCCAGTACCTGTGGATAGTACCTATGCTATTAGTATGATATCACCTTGCCGCTCCTACATTATTTGAAACTGTGTTCCCATCCGTACATTCGAAGCCAAGAACAATTACTGCTTAGGCGCCTTCCGGGGCTGATTTCACGTGGATGTCCTGTTCACAAAGTTGGACAAACCGGTTACTGTAAACAATATGAAGATGAATTTTCCCAGGAGATCAGCATGCTTGTTGCAACTTCATGACCTTTCAACTTCTTAAGTTACCCGATCAGTTTTGTAAGAAGACTGCTTTGATTTGAATTCTCATAGGCAAAATAAACACAAATACCTCTTCGTCTATTTTGAAATAGGAACAGCGTATTCTATCTCTCCCTGTATATATAATTGGTGACCATTCTTCATATGTGACAAACTTACTTTAAATGGTGTCCTCTAACCCTATCAAGGAGATGGTGCCATATGGGTTCAACGTCCGTTTGTTAATTCGGACTAAACATTTATCTTATATACATGCATATACATACACATCACATGTAGTCTTAGATATCATCAACAGGAAACAAAGTTCCTGAAATAGCCAACACTTTGCCAAGTCATTGGTAATTAACCGCACCGAGAATAAAATCAACGTATCGATTTTCAGTAAACAGTACAAAGGTTTTGGAATTTCGGAATACTACAGCAGATTGACTTTCCTTTTCGTTGAATCGTACAAGTATTGCCAATCCGTTATTAAGTTCCCCATGTCTTCTTCAAATTAGGACTATTGTCCTTGCTCTTCAAAGGTTAAGCTATATAATTTATAATATCGATTATTTTCATTGATTTTTAGCTGCACGTCTGTGATTTTCCAGATGTCGCCTGAATATTTTTGGTGGTTCTTCTTCTGCTCCTGAAGGTCAGCATACGAGTAACGTCGGAATCTTTCCTTAGCTGTGAACATTTTCTTTACAAGGTTCCTTAGGACGAATTTGTACTAGCTACTCATCACAATTCCACCTGCCTTAGCTGGCCTATCTCATTAAATGTCAGCCGAAAATCTGAAATATTATTCAAGGAGAAAAGACTACTTAGGTAGAGTTGTAATATTAATTATTGTACGACATAATCTCAAAATATCTCAAGTTCGCACCACTGCTGGCTTGATCCAAAATTATTCGAGAATCGCAGAAATTATTAAAACCTAAATATGTTATTTGTTAGAGTAGCATAATACGCTACCAAATGAGTGCAAGAAAGAGTGATTTTATGTGTGCATTCTATGAATGTTCTGTGTTTGAATTTATAAAGGCACTGAACTTTCATGGGAAACACTCATGCTACTTGAGTAGTCGTTTGGTACGATTGTATTATCACAAGCCACCAGAGGGCAAATCACTCAAAAGTCGAAATATTGGTGTGTTTGCAGCATCTCCTGGGTAAGCTGCACGATAATTAACATAAAAACCCCACCTAGGTACTACTTTCTAATCGAAAACATATTTCATAATTTCGGTTAACACTTAATGAGATAGACCAGCCACTGTGATGCTTCCAAGTCGAATGGACACATAATAGCCGTCGCAGTTACTCCCGCGTTTCCGGTAACCGCGGAAGGGGGGTTTGTGTACGGCTACCCTTAAGCGTTAAATGCACTAAAACGTCAATATTGGTGAGAAAAGGTGAGGGCTAAATTGGCAAAACAGAAAGGACTCGAAAAGAATGCATATAATGATAATAATAATAATAATAATAAGATGATGATGATGATGATGATGATGATAATGATGATGATGATGCTAAGGAAGAAGAAGAAAAGACCCTTCATATGCGAGATGCTCGTAACATGGACATTGGTACATAAGACTGTTACCATCCAAATACCAGAACACTCAAGGTTGTCAGCCTTAAAAATGTATGCATCCATAATCGGTGCATAAATGCGCAAGCAGATGCTTACATTTGTTTGAACATTTGCTTGAAAGAAGTCGGCAAAATCTTGCCTGCAGCACCTTAAGGAGGAAGCCAGTGATGAATGACGAATTGGCAAATTTTTCTTGCCAGCCAGAACAGATCACCACAACCTGAACCGCACTTTGTCGACTCGGAAAAAACCAGTTTAGATCACACAGTGCATACAAAACCTTTCAGAGCTTTTTTTTCTGTTTTTTTTCTGCTGCCTGGCTTCCGCCCTGTCAAACGGATTTTAATGACAGATTTTGCGGGTGAGCCAGTATTTCGGCCAGTTGGGGTTAACAAGTAATCAACAAACGCTCAGACTGCAAACCCACTGAGGGCAACAGAACCCGAATTTCTTTGTCTAGTCCCCTCACGCCCCCCATTCCCCCAGTGGTAGGTAGTAAGGGGGACAGTGTGGGGGGGGAAGGTGGAATGCTGCAATTAGCAGCAAAGGGGTGGGCGGTTAGCCTGCTGTGGGTTCCATACGACATGCCTAAGTGGAAGGACCAATCAGCAACTTGCGAGTTAACAACATGTTCCCGTCCGCTTAAGTATATAAATGACATGTGCATTGACCAGAAAACACGATCCCCCGAGAGATCAGAAACCACATAACACAGTTTCTACGGGTGTGTGTGGAACAGAACGGATTTCTCCAACTATCATCGGTAAGTTAACTTTACCTCCCGGCTGACATTTTTATAATTTCGCACCTCCCTGAATTGATAGTGATGTAATCAAACAACTATTCGATTGAAATGACCAAATAGTATTCCATAGTTTCTCCGAACTCGATACTTCCCGATTTCGAATATGAGTCCTCCATCGTAGTATTTTAGTCACATTAAGAAATTTGTGCACTGAAATCATTTAAACGCGCAGACGCCTGAATACTTGGCTCATTAGAAACGCCTACGACAAGCATAGGTCGTGAATGCGTTTTGATAGGGTTTTCATCCGTAACTTCATGTCTTTTGTCATAGTATTCAAATCATATCTTACTTACCTATTATCGGGCCGTTGTTGTATGATGAATTGACACCTTTCGTTGAAAAGCATTCGAATGAACCGAACTGTAGCGCATGAGAAGGAGAAGGAGGAGGAGGAGGAGAATGAGGGGAACTGACTTCCTGGTGCAGAGAAGACACTGAAGCAAAACAGTGATGCGCCTTTTGAGCGATAATTTAAGTGGAAGTGGGATGTACTATTACTGTCATGTTTGGTCAGGAGCCAAGCACGCACGTACACACGTGAAAAGTGCGACCACAGAGGTTTCACTGACACTGACATGTGTCAAGACTCGTCAAACAACCATGCACCCTAAAGTACATCGCCGCAGTCAGTAAGGGTTTCGTGTTTTGTTTTTTCTCTACCACTGGGCGCCCGTAAAACCACGCTCTTCTCTCTGGTGACCGTAGCACATGGTCCACCTTCTGTCCCAGAAGTGCACGCCTTTCTCCTAATCAACATACAATCACCGAATAAATGCCAGTCCTAGGAGTTAAAGCTTCAGTCACAGTAGAGGCAGGGTTCAGATGGTACGCCTGCGTTTCTGCAATACATTGCTTGCATATGCATACAGGTTCCGTTAAATATCGCTGCATCTTTTGGATCTTTCTACTCCTTTCTGAGCGGTGATATTGCGTGCTCCTTCTTCGTTAGGGTTGTGTGCCTGTCTGATACGCAACGTAATGTCTATCAACTAAATGTTTATGTGCACGCAGGGCGGAGGGGGGGGGCAGCCTTCATGTGTGACTGGTGTGACGAGCCTCCGGAAATCCACCGTATTGGATAATGTCGCCGTAAGGAGGGAAGTCGGGCGTGGAAATGGCACGGACGTTGTTTTGGATAAATAGAGGGAGAGCGTTTTCAAGGGGCTCAAACGTACATTGTTTTAGTTAGCCAGACCTTAACAGGAACCGGAATTTGATCGAAATTTTCCTCTTTCTCTACAGAAACTACAACAACAACAACGCCAAAATGCTGCCCATCTTGATGCTCTACATCATTACAACTGCTGCGATGCCCTCTCCAGGCATGGATGTCATCCGCTTCAGCAGACTAGATGAGAAGGCGCGAATCGGTGACCTGGACTGCGACAGTCCTGAGGCTCCGGCCTTCTGTCGCTACGCCTTCGCTCGTCGCAGCAGTGAGCAGTGCGCCTACCTCGTGACCATGCGTTCCGTCATCCAGCCCGAGGAGGAGTACACTTTTTGTGCCCAGCCACGAAAACCTGTCCCCTGTGCCATCTATGGCCCAAATTCTGACCGTCGGACCACAAACTGCGTTGTGCCGCCGATGGAGATTAGCCAGTTTGACCTTATGATCATGTACATTGTGAACCAAGAACTGAAAGCCCGTATAATACAACTGCTGAACCAGAAGAACAAGGGCGAGCAGCTGGACCCTGTGTTGCAGCAAGAGGTCGCCGCGATCCTTTCTGACAACCTGGACTGGTTGTGCAGTCGCAAATGCAGCAATGAGTCCTGTGACTTCCTTGCCAATCTGGACTATAATGAGAAATCACGCGGTGGCATTCCCAGTATGCCCACTCTCGTCTCCGATCTCAGTTCAGATGGTGTGAAGTCAACTCTGGCGCGCATCGAGATACCTGTGGGCACACCGGAGCTCTCCGCCCTCCTGAACAAGAAGCTAACTTTCGGCTCGGTGGAGGCGCCCGATCTACTCAGTGTTAGCTGCAAGAGAAACAGCCACTTCTTTCCGGTCTAAATGGATGCCAGATTTGAATGCAACAAGAACTGAAGGCTGAAACACACACACACATACACATAGAGAAAGAAACCGAGACGAAAAATAAGAGAGAAAGTTCCTATGCCTCCTTATAAATTCCCTCCCCCCACCGTTCTTTGCCCGCATTCCAAGAGACAAGAGCCAGAGATAGATTTAGAGCAAAGACAGTTACTCCCAGAACTGTGCATTTATTGTGCACGAGGATCGTGCTCCTTCTACCACTCTCCTGTTATTCCATTTACTTTGATAACTTCATACAAAACATATGCTCCGCACGTGAAAATACTAACGAAAAAATTCGAAGAATTGAATACTTGACTATTTCCTTAATAAAAATTCCCTGCTGATATCGCCTTCCATCTTTGGGGCAGAGGGGGGGGGAGAGGAGGAGACGTTGCTACAAGTACCCTCAGAACGCCGGTACCATCTATAGTTGCCACGACAACTCTGATGTAATGGCATTAGTCCAAAGACTGGGGGACCGTACTGCGACAGGGTAACTACGATAGTTGTTAAATCTCGTGGATGCATCGATTCAGGTCATTTGGTGGGGACTCAAACAAGGACAAACAATTATGCGGGGGGGTATATAAGCATGCGAACGGCAACTCAGTCGTTGCAAACGACGAAAAAAAGTGAAAGGCAGCGGTGAACCGTAAACGGTTTAGATTTTAGACTTGCAAACCATCTACCACACATGGTGATCGTGTTCTAAGGACAACACGAGGTCAAGGCAACAAGAAGTGAGTGGGGATGTAGCGGCTGTGTGGAAAGGCCCTCTTTTATGTAGACAACACGCTTGCTGTAAGTGTTCTCCACGTTAGCCGGACTCCAGTAAAACTCAGATACCACTCAACTGTGAACTGTCACAATGGCCGCAGGAAGAAGGACGTACTACTTAGGGACGTTCAGTCAGAAAGACAGCAAGGTTGACCCTCCACGACTGTCGCAATAAAAGGAAAAAAACAGTCAAACATTGAAGAATACAAAATTCAGCAAAGACGGGCTTCATTAGATGATGTTTGGGGAGATTCAATCTCTTGAATCCACTTTGGACCTGGTGATCTGTCGTGTTACCGGTGGTACTGAAAAAAAACGTAGCCTAGAGCACTCGATAAGACGATATGTGGAGAAGATATCGCCTTGACAAACGCTAGGCAACGCAGGCAAGCCAGTTAAGAGTTAGGTCTTCCGGTAAGGATCGGGCGAAGGACCCCAAACATTTGTGGCATACAAAGAATACCTACTATACTTATTTAAGTGGACTTAGGTCCGAAATGAGTAGTTCGGTTTGGTGTTCCATCGTACAAAATTGAATCTTCTGTTGTAGACGGCCTAGTGCATTATCTACTATCGCCTTAGCTCAGAGAGTTGAGAAGCGATCGTTGAAAACGGTCTGGTGCATTATCTTAAAATGAATTCAGCTCCGAGAATTGAGAAGCGATCGCTGTAGACAGTCTGGTGGATTATCTACAGTGACCTCAGTGCAGAGATTTCAGAAGTAATCGTTGTAGAGACTTAATATTTATTTTTTAATTGTCATGCTTAATTTCGGGTGCTATATGTCAGTGCGTTATGACCTTTCCGCCCAAAAAACGGATTTACCAATTATGTATACTTATTTTGCCCTTCCTGTATGCATA